ACTAAAAGAGGGGAGGTTCAGGCTGGATGTGAGGAAGAAGTTTTTTGCAGTGAGGGCGGTAAAATACTGGCACAGGTTTCCCAGAGAGGTGGTGGATCTGCCATCCCTGGAGACATTCAAGGCAGGCTGGATGTGTTTCTGGGCAATCTGATCTAGTTGAAGATGTCCCTGCTCATTGCAGGGGGTTGGACTAGATGACCTTTGAAGGTCCCTTCCAACCCAGACTATTCTGTGATTCTATAAGGAGCCATCTTTTATATACACTCTAAGTACAGAATTGCCTCTCAGCAGTCTGAGAAAAAGATGTCTTCATTATCTTCTGGGAAATGGTATGCCAGGCATTTTGAAGTTGATTTTGAAGGTAAAATACTGGATAGAAATAGTTCTTTCTTTTCATTGTTTAAAAAACGTTATTATACGTTTAATTTGTCGGCAACATGTAATGCAGTGATGTGGATCAACAGGGTTTGGCCTGTGATACAACATGAGTTCTAATGCTAGGATACAACACTATTGACAGTAGGATATTTAGAAAAGCAGGTTTTGATACTGAAGAATTGGAAGCAAGCAGTTCATTTCAGGTTCTGGCTATGTAGCCGTGGTTCAGATCTGCCTTTGCTTGTTTCCTATTTTGTTTTAAAGAGGTTTTGAGTTTCCTTTAACCACAGTTGTGGTTATCCACAGATGACCTGATTAGATTTATGTAATGCCTGTTGAACTAATCACAGAAGAACAGTGTTGGAGCAGTACCTCATTTGTGAGAACGTAGTAAATATGTACATAAAACATAGCAAGTTTTTAGTGAGTTAATAAATCTAAGCTTATATTTTCTAAATGGTTTTGCTGTTTGCCTAGAGAGGGGTATTTACACTTCATAACAAAAAAAAAAAACTTCAATAATTTTGTGGGATAATTAAATAAGAGGTACAGAGGTAGACTACAGAGAGGTAATAGAAACAGTCCTGTCATTAGGATTAAAGGGGAATGGGCTATCAGTAGTTACTTTTGAGCTTATTCCACTCAAGTACAAAGATATTTTTTAATCTGTGTTGATCTGAGCAGTCAGATGAAATTTAAGAACCGATGAACTATTTTGCTTAAAAGAAATTGCTGAGCTATTTATATTGTTAATACCATTCTACATATTGAGACAAAAGCTCAGTGTTTTTAGTACAGGAGAAACCAACTGTTACCAAGTTGTGGGGTGTTTTTTTTTTTTTTGGTTGGTTGTTTTGTTTTGTTTTTCTTTTTTATTCAGAGTTACAAATTTATTTCCAATCATTGTTGAGCACCAGGGCAATCTGCCCATTTTCCTTAGGTCCTGCCCTTGGTACCAGTTCTGCTGTACCTTAAGTTTCTGCTTTTTTTCTTCAATTGTCTGTGTTTTCATGATTGTCTCTAGAAGTATATTAATGAGAGACGCACTTTTGCTCTTTCATTTTGATTTCCTGCTCTTGCAGAACTTCAACTTCTTATAGTGTAAAACCCACCAAACATTAATGACAGCTTTGTATGGATTTGTGCTTGTTCCAGGATTTTTCCTTTACATTAATATTATTTCTTTTTCCTTGGCGTCTTGACTTTGACACCTACAGCAATCTCCCCTTGGTCTTTTTTTTGTTAAACTCAACAAAGCAAATGTTTTCAGTTTCCTCTCAGAATTTCCCTGACCATTGTAGAAGCCTTTATCTCTTGCAGTTTAAATTCCTTTTCTAGGTGTAGATGCTGAGAATCAAGAATAGTAGGATTTTAATAGAGCTTCGTGTTACTGCATTAATGCTGATGTCTGTTTGCTAGAAATATCTTCCCTGATAATTTTAAAATTTCATTCCATTTCCATAGGGACATCATATTGGTAGCTCATAATTACTTTGTGATCAGCTTTGTCCCCACAGTTTCATCCACTGTAATTTTCAGCTGCTGAGCTCTCAATTCTTAGCAGAAACTTAATAGTCAGTTCACATCTTTGCATTTCACATTATTAAATTTCACCCCAATTTTCCTGAAGGTAATCCATGTCTTCCTGGTGATGTTCTGTTCCTCATATGAGCAGCGATTTCCAATATCAGAAATTTTTGAGTGAACCCAGAATGATTTTTTTGTATTATTAATGATGCCAAGGAATATGTGTTAGTATTGTTCTTCCAGCTCTTTTGGTACAGCACTATGTCATCTTGCCTTACTTTTACAATCTGTAATACCTTTCACTGATCTCAAGAGTTCTCCATCACCAGCAAACATGACTTTAAATTAAAAAGTTGATTGACAAAGCTTCTGTTGTTAGCTCACTTATTGCATAGGTCAAGTTTTTTGATGTGAAGCTGATTCATAATAGACTCGAAGTGACCATTATTTCACCTTACATAATCCACAGGAAGTCTGAATTTGTTCTTTTCTCTCTTTCTAGATTTTTTTCCCCCTTTTTTTCCTGGGGGGGGAAATCATAAAAGGAAATAAAAGTGAACTGTATTTGAGACTAATACTTTTGTATGCTGTAAAGTGGTACCTGTTGATATTCTGAAGGGAATGGATTACCATATTCTTGCTTTGAACGTCTCTCAGAGTAAATAACTATACTGTATAGAATAATATTGTATTTATACCATCTCTCTTAACATTTCTAATGAAATGTTAAAATTTTCACTTTTGCAAAAGAGTAATTGTATTGACATGAGCAAAGACATCGTATAACTTCTGGGAGAAGATTCCCCTAGTTGGGATAATATAATTGAAATATTATTATAATCATACTGCTGTTTATTTCTGAGTGCATTTATAATCTGTACTGAGATCTGAACCTAACTCAGGAAAATAGTCTTTTGTCTTATCTTCTGCTAGCTCTTGAATTGATTTTAGATGATCTTAAGGTCCTTTCCCACTCTAAGTATTCTATGATACTGTGAATTTTTCCAATGTCCAGCTAGGCAGAGATCATGCATTCTTTGTGAGCAGAAACTACATAAGTGATGTTTCTGGCAGCTGTGGCTAAAGTTCCTAGTTCTGTGTTTTTCACTCTTTGGGTGGAGATATATAGCTCAAGATTTGCACAGAGATAGCATGCGTATTATTTATGAAAGGTGTCTTGGCAAAATACATTTTTTCTGTGGTCACTTCTTACCATCTTCCTAGCCTTTATATTCTAGCTCGGTGGTTTGTGGGGACTTGGAAGTGATTACCAGCAACTTACAGATACAAGGTTGTACTCCCTTACGTAGTTGTAAGTAGCTACTGATCAGAATATACTGTTACAGAACTGCATGTTTGCATAGGAATAATTAATATTTAATGCTGGTGTATTATTATCTTTTATAAAATTATCTTTGGAAATAAAAATATTACCCTGGGAGATACTCTTGTTTAATACTGATGTAGGGAAATATATTTTCTCCTTCTTTTACTGCTGAATCACTCCTTTTCCAGTTTTTAAAGGGCCTTTTGTCTCCTTATGTTTATGCATTTATATCCTGTCCACATAGATTTGGTACTGTTTTCCAGGTTGAAAGTGAATTCATGAGTTTTTATGGAAAAAGCTTTAAAAGTGGCAGCTTTCACAATGAGCATTCACTATATAAAAAGTGGCACCCTGACTGCCATTATCAGCTGATGTAAGAGGACGAAGTCAAGTAGTTGGGTCTCAAGATTAACTTTTCTGGAAAATATGAAAAGCAGCATCTAGTCTGGCTTGATCTGATTTCCTACTGTACTTCAAAGCTTCCTCAGGCTTCAGTGGCTAGCCTCTGCTGGGTTGCTGGACATGTCACTGGAGACCCTCTGTGAATGTGTGGCTGAGTTCCTTTTCCCTGTAGGTGAGGCGGTTGCACGCTGTATAAAGTGAATCGATTAAAAATTGATGGCAGGCAGTTTCTCTCTCAAAGGGAAAATCTGTGATATTCATGGATGAGACCAGTTTGCTTTTATAAGTGCCATAATGTGAATGACTATAAGACAAATTTGATTAAGTTACTCAAAAGACCAGCTACTACAACTGTATAATAATAATGTTAAACTAACAGAATAGGATCTGGGTGAATTAATTTAGAACCATTTACTTCTAGATTCAGCTTCTGCTTATATTTCGAAGTAAAGAAGGACATCCAGAATCATTTGAATAACATGCAAGCTGTAGTTATATCAGGAAGATCTTTTTCCTTCAAGTTTTATTTGTCTGTAAAATTTGACCAGTAGCAATATATTTCAATATGTGTTCAGGGGATGTTCCTCTGAGTTTAAGGGTATGGACTGAGTGCCTCAATAGGACTTTCTCAGTGCATGAACATCAGTAAATTTTCTGTGGGTCTGGAATGCAGAGGAATTGTTAAATGATAACTTTTTCCATTTTGTTGGTGGGACTGTTTTATCTTAGTCCTGTGAAGTTTTTGTTGGCATAAATTTGTTGCCATAATAATAGCAACAATAAACATAAATAGTGATTTATGATAATTAATTTACATAAAGTATGTGTTTTAATAAAAATCTGGTTATTACTTTGTAATCTTAATAATTTAAAAATGACTAAGGAGAATACTATACATTTGTTAGCTTGAAAGGTCTCTTGTATCAGAAAAGAGCCATGCATGATTGTTTTGTTTGATATCAAAACACATTTTTGCTGTCATAATACTGGCACATTCTCAAGGCATGCTGTTTTCTGGCTGCTAGCAGGGAGTAATGGAAACAATGCAGTGATCATGCAATTTATTTGAAAATAAACACTAAAAATTCTTAGGCAAGCAATGTTTTTAATTTAGGATTCGTAAGGCTGCATAAAATAGCTGTTTTAGTGCCACAAAGGTATTTAAATGCCTTGCTGCCTCTGAATTGTTTATAATTTCTTTCTGGTAATTTTCCTTTGGATCAGATTGTGATGCTGCTTCTGAATAGTGATAGTGCTTGTTGAGGAGTGGTCATGCAAGCAAAATGTGATAACCTCGATATGTCACTTCATCTGCTGTTTTTCTTTTGTTAATGCAAAGCTGGTTGCATAATATGTAATTTCTCCTTTAGCTGACCACAGATGAAAACAAAATCTATAATGGCAGCGCTAGATTTTATAAAAAACGCAAGTGAGGAGTTGAAGGATGTGGCTTGTTCTGTTTGGATGATGCAGGATTGCTTTAAGCAGTAAGCTTACTGTTTTCAGATGGCATTAGCAGCATCAGTGATATAGCTGTGTCAGCCTCCTTGACTACTGGATGTCTGTAATCGCACGGAGGGAACTATATTTAAGATCTGATATCTTGAGGGTAATGACTCGAGCACTTACTGGTGGACAGAATGGCTTTCTTCACTAGCCCTGAAGATTTCGAAAGGTAGATGGGTCTGTGATGTACTTCTGTAAGACAGGAAATGCAATTTTTGGGGGTCTCTGGAAATAGAAAGGTCATGCAGCTTGGAACCGGTGAGACATTACAGTCTCTAAGTCATCAGGTATGACCTTACAGTTTATTCTAATATTTTTAACACAAGGGTTTGTTTTGCAGTTTTAGGTCATTTACAATCTCTTTGTTTGTGTAATTGTTTCATGTTCTGATTTGCTACAGGATTTGTCGGGTAGACTGTTTACATAAGCAGAGCAATGTATATCTTGGAAATCTGATGTGTTGTTAATTGCTATTTGAACAATGTAAGGTTATTCCATACATTTTTTCAACCTGTTTTTATTGTGAATATGATTTAACTAATTCAGGGTAAAGGTTATACCTTTGCTGTAAAGTAAAATCACAAGATTGCATTGCATTTTTACTTTGCTTTATCTGTACATGGCACACAAAGCTATAGTGAATGTGTGTGTTTGTGGTATGTAATGCAGTATAAGGCAACTGTTTACCTACAGTGGCAGGTTATTTAAAACAATGTATCACATTGTGTAACAGGGCTGAGCTATTCTGCAGGCACAGATCTTGCTTTTTTTTTTTTTTTTTTGTATTTTGCAGTAGTAGGATTTTTTTCTTTTTTGCTTCATTTCAGATCAGTTTAAAAATAGCTCACTGGGCATAACAGTGGAAGTTTGGCAAGATAACGCCTCTCTTTTTAATTGTTACACTCGGGGACACAAACTAATAGTAATGGGTTGTAAATGAGAAGGTGAGTAACTTAAATATTTAGAATGTTGTTTAAAACCAAATTCATTTTACTTAAGCATGTCTTATCCTTTTTGTTTTTAACTGTTGCCAACTTTATTGCATGGCTGATACAAAAGTATCTGCGAATGTGTTGTGGTGATGGATAGGACAGTCGGAGTGCACAGAACTCCAGGGACGTGGGTATTTTACATAGGAAGATAGTGGCCTAATTTCGTGTGTGGGGCACAAAATGTAATTGGAGATTCTGTTACAGCTTTAGGTGTTATAAATGCTAGGTAATAGCCATTGCTTCCCTTGAATATATCATAGAGCAATTATGTTTAAATTTGTAGAAGTTTATTTTAAAACAGTGATATTCAGCTCCATCTTAAGAAATTCTAGATGTATTTGCAGAACATTACCATGGCAACGTGTTTGGCCATGTGTTTCGAAAGCTCCACGGAAGCCTGAAAGTGGTGTGCAATTTTTCTGTCACTTGCTTTACCCTTGTAGAACAACAATTTTCACATAAAACTGGACTGCAGATTGGCAGGGGTGAGTGATAATTCCTGACCTCAAAGCACAGGATTAAGTGATCAGGATTTAAAAATATTTTCATATTTCCCCACAGAAATGTAAACATGTAAAACGTGGATTTGATTTTGCATTTAAAACTGTATTCTGGTTTCACCCCCATTTAACAACATTCTGCTGGAAATATACGTGTGTGGGAGACCACAGAAGACCAAACTTAAGAATGTGCAACAAATCGCTTCAGTAAAAAAGGCTGTCTTTTCATTTTTAATTAAAATCATATTTGTAAAAAAGTGTTGTATTGCTTTTGTTAGCCATAATTTATAGTTTCCCAGTGTACTTATGCAGCTTAGGTTCTTAATAATGGAGAAAGACTGCCCTGCTATTAAGCTTGATTAGATTTGGAATGATTTAACTATACCTTTCACTTGCTACAAGATCTTTTTAATCTGTTAGAATTTATTTTCAGTATTTTAATGTATTAGTCACAATGAGTACATTCTGTTCCTTGGCATTGGAATGAAATTCCTGAAAGTATTGGTTTCATGGTATTTTGGTGCTTTGCAGGGTATTTATGGACTTTTTATTAGGACGAACCTTCCCCCTAGCTTTTTTTGTTTTCTTCATTCAAGTGTAATTTAAAAGCTTGACTTACATGCATTTTGAAGTTGTTTCTGAATTCTCCTTTGCTCATTTAAAATAATTAGGTCTCTGTGGAATTTTGCATAACTGGAAGCTATAGCAGTATGTCATGTGCTTATCCTGGACTCCATTTCATCATTTATATTAATTCTGCAAACTGTTCTATGCATGTTTCTGAAATGTATCATTGATAATAATCTCCAAATTGTGCAATAAGCATCCATTGCGGCGTGGTTAGGATAGAAACTGTGTTTACAGAGGAAAATTGGTGAAGAATGCTTACCTGAGGAAGTGTGTGTTTAGGTCATTCCATTTTGGAACAATAATTTTACTGACTATTGCAAGTGAATTTGAATATGTTTTTTTACTTAAAGGATGCAGTTCCATTATAGGTCCTCCTTAATTTTGATGGACTAAAGAATATTACACCAAAGGAATGTAACAAGGAAGTGAGGTTCTTTTCTAAAAGGAGTTGCAGCAAGGTAGAGATTTACACATGAGAGTAGGGAATAGGACTGAAGAGATCTGAAAACTTAAAACTACAAACTATTTTGCTTGCTTAAAAATGTGCCTTCTGCCCCGGGGGGGGGCCCCCCCCAAATGACAGTTTTAAAATGTTTGCTGATATTTGGTCATATTGTACAAATTTGAAGTAATTGAATCCAGTGGCAGTGTCTTGGTATCAACAAGAGGGGTTTCTTTTATTTCTCTTAACTATACCATCTCTTCTAACTAAGTTGATTGCAGTTGTCAGTGTTTGTAGAATACTATGTAAAAAAGGATTACCCTAACTGAAGTATTCTTTCCCTATGACTACACGTAATGAATACACATCCATGAGTATGTGTTTCCCTGTTTTTAAACATTCCAATTTACAGAACTTGATTATAAAGGTCTTAAAGGGAATGGAGCTCTGTATGGATGTTTTAGGAACAAAGTTAACTAGTGAGTTGGGCAAGAATCCCAGTATCTGTGTAATTTACTAAAAATGTGAATGCTCACACTCATGACAATACTTGGTTATGTAGTGGTTTTACTTATTATTGATTGATGTTCTGAATCCACACTGCTGACTTTTTTTCCTATGTTACAGTGCCAGTTTTTAAGGAAATGGCAGTACTAGGACTAATAGGAGATTGTGGCCAAACATTCGCAACTAGCAAAGCAACACAAAAAGTAAAAAGTACTTTCAGAGTGAGTTGAAAGGATGCAAGTCCTTTTGTCCTACGTTAGTCTCTGTCCCAAGAGGTGATCCCATTCTCTGGTCAAATTCTCCTTGTTTAGTACTTTAATTCATATACCAAGTCATTTGGCATCATAACCTGAATTATAGAAGGCTTAGAATCAAGCATGTCAGAAAGGTCTAAAATATAAAGTAACATAGCATAAATATGTCACAAAATACATAGGTGACTAGTATTCCAAGAATGCTCTGTTCCATTTAGTGTTTCAAGAATATCACCATTTTATCATTTGAATAGAAACCTTTTAAAGGAGATTTGCTGGGATGCGATATGAAAATGTGGACAAATAGCAACAATAATACCACAGTAATCTGTTAAAAAAGTTTTAAATAGTCGTTATTAGTCCCAACAAATTCTGGGACCACCTGAGAGGGAGTAGTAGGGAAAGTGACCGTATTTCTGGTAATTCCAATAGGCCACTTACTAATTAAGATTGATGTAAACTACAGAGTAAGCTACCTAATGCCTTCATTGTGCTATACTGATTTCAGTGTGACCCTTGAAAGGGAGAGCATCACTTTCTGGAGTAATTTAAAATATGTATATACCAGTAAGACGTTACAGGATGTGACTGATGATATGGTGGGGTAATACTGCTATTTCCATTTCATTAAGGGCAATTTCTTTTTTCTAAAGTGATACTTCATATATTTAATTTGTGCTCATTTCCTCTTGCCCTGTCACTGGGCACCACTGAGAAGAGTCTGGTTAAGCCTTTGCTACTTCCTCCCCCAGTCATGTGTTTATACACTCTGATAAGATTCCTCCGAGCCTTCTCTAGGCTGAAACAGTCCCAGTGCTTTTTGCCTCCTCTTCTGTGACTTTTATGGCCCTTTGCTGGGCTTTCTCCATTACAACCATGTCTTTCTTGTAAGAAGTGAGCCTAGAATTGTACAGTATGCCTCAGTTATGTCTCAGCAGGGCTGAGCAGAGAGGCAGAATCACATTATCTGGTAAAGAAATTTGGATTATCTGGTTAGCTGGTCAATGGAATATAGGAAACTTGAATCCTTGAAAAATAAGATTTTAAGTCACTGAAAATTATAAATACTGGCTGCTGGTAATCTTATGGAGAAGAAAAGCTTTGAAATAGCTTTGCTTAATTCATAGCAGCTTTTTAGTGGTGAAACCTGCTGTTATTCTGGAATGTTGTATATGGAATCTATGTCCCCCAGTGTGAATTGATACAAGCAAAGACTAATGCCTAAGGGGAAAGGTTAAGCTTTAATATTTTGACCTAAGCAAATTTTAAAGTAACTGAGTAAGAAGATATTATCTAGTATGCTATCACTAATAATCACGGAATCGTAGAATGGTTTGGGTTTGGAAAGGGCCTTAAGATCATCTAGTTCCAAACCCCTACCATGGGCAGGGACTCCTCACAGTAGACCGTGTTGCCCAAGACTCTGTCCAGCCTGGCCTTGAACACTGCCAGGGATGGAGCATTTACCACTTATTTGGGTAACCTGTTCCAGTGCCTCACCACCCTCACTGTAAAGAACTTCCTTATATCCAGCATGAACTTCCCCTGTTTAAACCCATTGTCCCTTGTCTTGTTGCTATAGTTTCTGATGAAGAGTCCCTCTCTGTCTACCTGTAGGCCCCTTTCAGATATTGGAAGGCTGCTGTGATAAAAAATAAAGGTAAACTATAGGGAACCTGAGCTCCAGGGATTAGTAAGTTTTGGTTTAGTCAGCTTGCCAAAAAAGATTTGGTAATTTCTAGTAAAAACTCAGAGCATGCACAGAGCTCTCAAATGTGCTCAGCTGATGCAGCAGCCATCAAGTGACAGAAAATATTCAGCTTGGTGCATTGAATGAAAATGTAAAACAGGCATTAAGTGACATGAGGGAGTGTTGTGGTATTGTAAAAATTTGCTCATTTTTGTAATAGCTTCCCCCTTTTCCCCCAGGCTGCTTAAACAAACTAAAAATATGTATAGGAG